ATGGGAATTTCCCATCTTGGCTGGGCCTGTGGATGCGTAACAAAGCCAGGGACACTTGGAAGGACTGTGTGATGCATCTGGGGTGAGAGTACAGCTTCTGTGGTTTATGCTTGAGCCAATCGTATGGAGGTTATATAACGTCAAGTCCCGCTCCATGGCATGCCTTGGAGGGGACGCAGCCACCAGCCCACTGGCTGTTGGGCATGGGGTTGGGATCAGTAGCTAGAGCTGGGGGAGCTCAGTCTGGGTGTCCAGCTGGGCCTGCCCGGTGACACTTATCTTAAAACGGGAGCTTCTCCCACTGTGAGTCTGACCTGCCCCTGTGATGTGCAGGCACTCTGCCCCAAAGCAGTTCCAGGTTTTTGTGTATCAAGAGCTCTGGCCCTTGCAAACATAAAGGGCATGCGTGCATGGTGGGTGCAGGGGACCAGGCTTTGGAGCTGAGGTAGGGAGGCCTCTGTAAAGCAACTGCCACTGCTCAGCCAGCTGCCCCTTCCCCACAGCCTGCTCACTCCCATCCAGTCTCTTTTCAGAATCCCACCCACCTGCTCAGCCCCATTGTCCCGTCCCCCCATAAGGGCTCCAGCCACGGGAGGAGCTGCACAACAACACCTAAGAGGTGCCTGGGATTTGAGGAGGGTCTGGCTGCCTGTTACTCCCCCAGCTGGGGTAGATCCAGCTCCCGGGCTGGATTTGCAGCACTTCTGTGCCTGTCGAAAGCAGGACTGCACCTCCTGGTTTCTCGGCTCAGCCACTCTTTGCCAGGAATATTTGGAAGGCCTCGGCAGCCCCTCCCAGCTCCAGCCAACAAAAGGGATTCAGGCAGCTGCACTTCTGCCAGTTCCCTGCTGGTGCCTCGCAACCAGGGTGTGAACCAGGCCTGACGGCATTAACCCCATTTGTCATGGCAGCTCTCACGCCCGTGGCATGGCTGAGGCCGGTGTGCCCTGACCCTCATGGCTACTGCTCCGTGCCTTTTCCCATCGCCCCCAAAGTTTTGACGTTCCCCCTCCCTCCAGCTCACCTGCTTGCCCTCTCTCTGCTTCCCCCCCACCCCTCCTCCAGACCACTCGGTCTTGCTTTCACTCCTGAAAAAGGGAGAAAGAGAAGTGGGCTCAGGGATGGCAGCACCTGTAAAGGCAGGGATCACTTTACTGTGCACCACTTAAAGGTGCCCTGTGCATCCTTCTCCATTACCTCCTGGGCTGGGCTCTAGGGGTAGCTCTGTTGGCTTTAGTAGGGGGTCAGGAAATAGCTTCTACTGCTGGTTACTCTACCAACTGACTGCCAAGGGGGGTTCTTTGCCCCTTCATCTGAAGCAGCAGCCACTTGAAGGAGGAGGGAGAGTTAGATGGACCACGGCTCTGGTGACTCCTGTGCACTTATATTTGGTAGAGTGCTGCTCTCTCTCCCCCCAAGAAGAGACCAGGAGAGAGGCCTTTGTTTCAGCTGCAAAAGGGACTTTCCATTGAGCAGCGTTTCCAGCTGCAAATGTGCACCAGTGGTGAGTCAGCCTTCCTCTCCCCTTCCCCCTCTAAACAAACAGAAAATCATGGGATTGGCTGAAAATTCATGACGGTTTTAAACAAGAGACTGGGGACTCTTTTCATGGGTTTTCTGCCTTCTGAGCATTGAGGGTCCTATTGTGCGACCCTTCTTTGCAAGCAAAAAGCGAATAAGTTCCTAAAAAAACCAATAAAATCATATCATCCCATGACTCCAGGAGCTGGAGCTTTAATGAAAACCCCAGAGAGTGTGTCACTCATCTGAGTTGGCTATACCAATATTGTGAGGATCCTGTACAGTCTAGAGACCCTGGAGATGCAGGGGATCAGGGCAGGCTGGGCACAAAGCCTGATGCAAAGGATAACCCAGAAGAGAGGGAGCTGTCTGTGACGAGCTGTACGCGCCTTCCTGCCAAAGTTCCTGCGATAACTATCTAGGTAGTCTGTGGTGCACTGGTTCTGAGAACAGAGCTCAGCAAATTTCCTTTGAAGTACCCCTGCGGCTTCACACAGGCTTATGTAGATGGAGATAAGAAGACAGGTGGTTTTTAAAGGAGGGTGGTATAGACACACAATGATTATTGGAAAGAGTACAGGGAGCCTGTGTGTGTGAGGGGTGGAGATGTGGTGTGCATGCGCCCATGCATGACTGGGATTGGGTCTGCTAGAGGTGTCCATGTAACGCAGCTCACCAACACTTAACTGCAGACTTATTGATGGATGATGAAGGACTGAGCATGCTCCTGGCACTCACTTCCTTTATTTGCCCTACATGTGTGCTTGCACATATGATTATGCGTGTGTGTGTATCTATGCAGAGTAAGTGTGTTTGACACATGTATTTGCAGTGTCTATTGCGTGTGTGCACATGTCAGTGGGCACTTAGGGCACATGCGGGGAGGCTGTAGTTGTGCAAGACGCATTTGTGTATGTGCGGGAGGGTTTGGATGTGTAAAGGGTTTTGTGCATGTGTATGCACAAGATGCGTGCCAGTGTTTGTCCCCGTCTGCAGTGCATGTGGGGAGGCATGTGTGCGTGCATGTGTATATGCACAAGATTTTTGTGAGATGTGTAATGTGTGGGGGGTGGGTTGTGTGTGCATGTGTGTGGGGTGTGCATGTGTCCATGTACAAGACGCATCTGGGCACTTGTGTCTGTTACATTCCTACTTCTTCTGGGAGATCTGCATGCTCGTTTGCAGGCATTAACCCTCACACCTTTCTCTGGGGGGATTGTCCAGCTCTTTACCCCTGCTGCACAGGTGATGAAGCAGACTTATCATAACAGCCCTCTCATTCCACCACCCAAAGCAAAAACAACTCCTTTACAGAAAGTTCTGCATCTCTGGGGCCCCAAGTGAGTATCCAAGAAGACACTGCTCCCTCTATTAAGGGTCCTACTTACCCGTGTCTGGGTGGAGCGGCTCGGGAGGAAGAGCTTAGCGAGGGTGGTGGGGGAGCTCAAGGCAAAATGGAGTGGAATTAAAAGGGAAGATGGAGTTTACCAGACCAGATCAGCCCCATCATATGCGTTGACTGGTTTTTCTTTCACCTGGAGCTGTTCATTAGCCTCAAATCCTTCCAGAATCCTACTTTCAGTGACGAGCCAGCCCCAATCTCCCTTAGTGACCTGGTGAATCGCAGGCTACATTTCCTACTGCCCTTAAGAGCTCAGCAGCCCCAGCCTATTCTTCTCTGCAGCCTTGGGCCTCCCTCCCCCTGCAACACCCAGCGGTTTGGCTTCTGCTTGAAGCCCTTTAGGTCCCCCATCGCCCAGCACTGAAGACCTTTCACGCTGCGCCGTAGGAGCTCTGAGTAGTGTTTTTGCTTTTGCAGAACTGAAACCTGACTGATGAAGTTTTTCCAAAACCACCCCCAACCCCAGCACCTGACCCAGGTCCCAGAGCAATGCTGAGGGCTGCTGCAAACGAGGGGTAGCAACAGCAGCACTGCAAGGGAAGCTGAGGGCTGAAGGGACGGTGAATCTCAGCAGCCTGTCGTGGGTCTGGAGGAGGACAACCACTGACACGGGGCTGAGCGCTGGGGAGCGCTCAGCTCAGAAGCAAGACCACATGGATGCAAGACCCTGCGGGGAGAAGCCCACATCCCAGCACAAGGATGGCCAGGGCTGGGGCTGCCCTTGTCCCCAGGCTGCAGCACAGGGGTGTCTGAGCTGCAGCCGACCTGAGCACCCAGGTCTAACCCTGGGGGCCGCGCTCCCCCTGGCGCCCGGCTGGCACTGCCTGACAGCTGGACAGCGAGGAGTGACAGTGCCACCTGGGGGCTGCTTGGGAAGTGCGCCCTTCCCAGCACTGGCATCGCACCCACCCCCCACACCTTATCCCAAGCTGGATGCCATGGGGGCAGGCCTGTTGATCACATAGGGATGGTTGGTCCAAGCCCTCTGCAAACTATACGCCCTCTCAGTTAAAGGGAGGCCACGAGGCCCGATCACTGGGGACAACACGTGGAATTGCTGGGCTGGGAGCGAAGGCCAAAGGTGGATCCCGATGGGGACACAGAGCAGAGGCACGGCCCAGCACCCAGTGCCCTGAACAAGTCCAAGGAGCCTGCAGATGCCACCCATCTTTTAAAAAATTAAAATATAACTATATATATATATATACATACATACATACATTTAGGTATGTATACACATCCTCTATCATAGACTTCCACTGCACCTTTTCTTTTAAAAACTACCTTAAGAAACCCATGCACCTGTTACAAAAACTACACCCACTCCCCTGCGCACCCACCCTCTGCCCTCCCCTAACCCAAGCACAGTCCCTTAGTCCTGGCCCCGATTTGGGGTTTCCCTTCTCAGTTCATTTCCAGTCTTTGTCGCTGTCGATGTCACTTCTACTGCTGCTGATCCTGTTGTCGTCCTCCTCGCCGTCTTTAGGTCCAATTGCATTGCTGTCCCCCTCGTTCTTCCTGTCCACTAACTTTCCCAGGGGGGACTTTGAACAGCCGGTGCCACGTGTCCCTTTTCCAGATGGAGTTGGATGCATCCTCCCGTCCTCTCCCACCGCTTTCCTGCAGATGCCACCCTGAAGCGTGGTGGGAGGATGCTGGGCACGGGCCTTTGCTGGGTTTATCTGCAACCTGCACATCTAGACTGGCATCTCTGGGGGCACGGGGACCCTCCCGTGCCACGAGGGTACGCCACGCTCCTGGCACATAGTTGCCCAGTCTGGCACACTCAGCAGTGTGGGCTCCCAGCCCCAGCATGCTCCTGAATGCCCAGTGCCCACCAGCGCTGCCCCTCCTGCACACAGCCTTGCTGCACGCCCCACTCCTCCCCTCCAGGGGGCGCGCGGCGCTAGCCGGGCTCCGCACCACCTCCCCTTGCCAGCACTTTCCCCTCGCGTCCCTTGCCCGGCCCGTGCGTGCCGACGCTAAGCCGGCCCGTGCGTGCTGACGTATGCCAGCCTAGCCCCGCCCCCTCCCGCGGCGTGCGGCGGCCGCAGTCCGCCTGCAGAGGTCCGGCAGGATGTCGGTGCCGGACGCGGCAGGCGGGGACGAAATGAAGCAGGCCAAGGAGATCGAGGACGCCGAGAAGTTCAACTTCATGGCCACAGTCACCAAGGCGCCCAAAAAGGTACCCCTGGAGGGGGTGGTGGTCTCCCCTCCCCTCCCCTATGTGGGGTTATTTTGGGATTAACCCCTGCTGCCCTCTCCTCCCCCACCAAGGGGGCAGCAAGGGTTTACTCCGGGATAGAGGTGGGGGTGTCTGCCTGCCTTGCCCCGGGACGGCGTGGGTTATCCCGGGATAACGGCACGGTCTGTTTGTAAAGGGCGGGGGGCAGCTGGTTAAGCCAGCGCCGGCGGGGTTGGGGTTGAGTGGGGGGCACCGAGGCTGTGCCAGCCTCATGCTTCGCCCGCTCGCCTTTCGGGCATCTCCTGGCGCCCGGGACGCTTGCTTAACCTGCCTCCGGTTGCTGGGGATTGAGGAGCCGGGGGCTCCCCGAGCGCGGGCGGCGTTGGCTCGGGCCTGGGCGAAGGAGCCCTGCCTGCCGTTCCAGAGGTGCAGCCACAGCTGGAGCGTGGGAGCCAGGCTCCTTCCAGCTGTTCCAGTTTCACCCGAGAGCTGTGAAACCAATGGGAAACCGATGTCGGCGCTGCCCGAGGGATACCTGGCGCTTAGCATCCCCCGGCGGGTGGTGGTAGTGTGGAGAAGGCTCTTTAGACCCGTGCTGGGGATGCTCCTCCGTCAGGCCGAGGGGTTGGTGAGCCCGTAGAGGTATTCGCTTGACATTGCAGGTGTAGGTAGAGGCTGTTTTGCAGCCCAGGCAGGGGGGCGGACTCGATTATCTGTCGAGGGCCCTTCCGACCCTCACATCTATGAATCTGTGCTTGGGTCGTGCTGCTGGCTTGACCTTGCTGCCCAGGATCTCGCTGTAATGCTGCCCCGAGCACTGGAGGGCATGCAGTGAGATGAGCTTTGAGGCTGATAACATAAGTGCCAGCCCTGAAGAATGAATGCTCCAGGCCCACCCAGTGACTGTGAAGAGGGGAGGCATTGGCAACCTCGAAAGCAGCGGCTCTCAACCTTTTCTGTACCAGGACCCATTTGTAAACCTCGATGGCCAGTCCCGAACCGCTGCCCCCAGCCCCTCAGTGTGTGGGGCAGTGGGTGGGTGGAAAAGCCATGGTTGCCCATGTTTTTCTCCTTTTTTTTCAAAGTGTGTTGATCCATTTTTAAAGTTTGTTCACGACCCTTTCGTATATTCTTGTGACTCACTTTTGGGTCGCGACTCACCGGTTGAGAAACGCTGCTCTGAAGCATCCAGTGCTGAGGGTCTGCGGCTTGTCTCGGAGCTCAAGGCATCTTCAGATTGCTTTGTATCAAAATCATAATCGGAAAAAGGTCTTATTACTTTTTGCGACCCTTCTTTATTTTTAATGCAAGGCAGAGTGTCTTGTGCGTCTCCTTTGTGAGCTTCGAAGCTCATCGCCTTTATCTAGAAATTCCAGGAAAATAGCTGAGAGCTTCCTGCTATGGTTTCATCAGAGGAGTGAGGTCCCTAGCAGGTACGGTATTAAAAATGCTGAAATAAACCAAACCTGGCAGGGAAGTTATCAAATCCTTGCCCTGATTGACATCCTCTGGGCAAATGATTCTTTAAGGGGCAGGGTGCATTGAAGATCAGATGGGGGAAGCTGGGAATATCCAGCTGGGTATGAGTGCTTTCTCTTTTGTACTAACTCTTACTGAATAGCTTTTCAAAGGGGAGGCTTATGCTTACGCTTGCTGTGAGCACCAGTGTGCAGTGAAAGTGCTGATAGGAGTGAACATCCCTCCATGTTCATGCAGACGGGTTGCCAGTGTGTTCAGTTTCCCAGGCAAAGCGCCCAAAGGTGGGGACCATTAATGAGGAGGTACTCGGACAGGAGCTAGACTGAGAGAAGAGCTGGTCATGGAAGAAGCAAGCATGCTCCTCGAAACAACCAACTGTGGCAGCCCGAGCAATCCAGCTGGTAGGATCTATATTAGTTCTGCAAACCAGCCTTGAGGATCTCCTGATATATTTTTTTTCCTCTTGTCATTAACTTGGAAAAAGGTTAAAAAGGGAAACAGCAGGAAGTAAGTGATTAAAAGCTTAAACGTGGTAGACTCTGCCTTTAAGTAGAAGCCGGAGAAGCTGAGGTGAAGCGAGATTTTGGCCCTCCATAGCAGTGCGTGGTTGTCTTTGAGACGGGGAAGGGGGCTTAGCTGAGATGCCTGCTTCACTGCAGCCTGGTGGAAATCTTGTCTTGTTGAGCCGAAGGACATCAGTTTTCTTCCCAGTGAAACTGCCACGTTGCAACGTGCAGCTGCATTGTCCAGTTGTCCCTACTGCTATCCTTGGATATTACGTTGGGTGCTTTAGAAACACGGGTGGATCTCCCTACAGCCGTGAAATAGTGAGGAATCCACATGTCCAGGGCAACTGTTCCTGTGAGGGCTCAGGAATCGTCCTGTGTTCTCAAAGGACTGAAATAATCCTCCCTTCCCATCCTATACCCAACAGGGTGCTTGGTGTCGGTGGTTTGAGCTGTTTTCCTTGGGGAATACCAGTGTCCTCATGTCTTAATTGCCCTCTTTACATTCAGTGAACAGGGCTCTTGGGTGCTCTTGTTTATGGAAGATTTTGGTAATGGAGCCATTTTATTTTGAGGTGAGGGTGGTACCTGCTCTTTGATCTGAGTGGGGAAGCGCTCTAAGTGAAGAAGATGAAATGCCCTGAGATGATAAAGTTGGCCAAGGAAGACTTCTTGCTTGGAGAGCCCATGTGATCCCTAACTGCAATGCATACTATTTCCTTAGAGTTTCTGGAGTTGATTGTAACAGCAGCATGCTACTGCAGTGTCCTCCCATACCACCACCATGATGCTTCATGGCCCCCTTGATCTACCTGATCAGGTGGGGACTACTTTTCATCAGGCCGACCAGCAGCCGGTTATTCTTATTCGTGCAACAGAGTGGAGGTGCGAGATGGGCTAAATTCTGTCTTGTGCTTGCTGTTTCAGCCGGCGACGGGAGCTTTGTAGCACGTGCCCAAGGTTTTTACTTCCTTGGTTTGAACGGCAGATAAATGCGATGTTCCCTCCCCCCTTCCCATGGATCCAGCTGCACTGGCTCTGTGGGCTTTGTTGCTTGTGAACCTGCGTAAGATGGCATCAGTGGAATCCCACTGAGGCTGTGTGCTGGAGGTGCCAAGGAGAATACTAATGCACTGCTGCAGCTTTGCTGTGGTACAGAGTCAAAGCTACTGTGTATATGACAGGGGGAGAATGCAGAGAGAGGAAAATGTGGGTGGGGGGTGGGCAAGGGGACACCGGCAGGAATGAAGTTGGAAGGGGTGAGGACTGCCTTAGGATCCGGTTCTCATATGAAGTGGATTGCACTAGAGCAGTGGTTTTTAACCTCTTTTCATTCGCTGGACCCCTTTGGAAATTTCAAATGGAGGTGCTGACTGTAAGTGTGGGTATTCGCATACTTTTGATTAATCATAGTCCATTTTTCATTGACCCCTTCGATGTAGCCTGAGGACCTCCAGGTGTTGAAAACCGCTGCTCTAGACTGTACTCCATGCCTTCCCCAGAGCCTGGTGTCTGCTGCTGATTTTTGAGGTCACTCTCATGAGCCGCTGTCATGCTTCCACGGTGCTGGCTGTAGCCTTGGTGTTGAGTCTGCTCGCTCCCAGTGTGTTAGGTCTCCAGTGGAAGGAGCTTAGTTATGTGCCCTTCTTAGGACAGGCTTGCTACATGCTACACAGTCGTTTTACCCAAGCGCAAGAGGACTGCATGCAGTGGTTCTCAGTGGTTCCAGTGACTCAGGATTATTCCCTCCAGTATTGGATAAAAACCCTAAAACATGTGCCAGTCTCAATATGAATGTGCCGAGTAATGGGGTTTCAGCCATTATCCCATTAGGCTGTCACAATCTATCCTACTAGGCCATCTTATCAAAGAGCTTGTCTGAACTCATTCTGACTTCCCTTTCTTAGTGTGTTCCCAATTCAATCTCCTGGCATCCCCCGTAAATCCTCCCTTGCTTTCACATACTTGGAGATGATTACCGTGTCTCCCACCTCCTCACTTCCTCACTCCCTGCTCAGCCAAATCCTGTGCCTTTAACTGTCATTTTCCTTCCTTATGTAATTCTCTGCAGCCTCCTGGCTCTCTCTGCTGACCTCTCTGGCTCTTGTTTGCCTGGTGACAAGGAGCCTGGGACTCAATGCTGAATTTTAGATGCTCTCTCCCCTTATAGCCAAAGAGGGGAGACTTTATCACCTTCATGTCTGTCCTGAGATGCTTCTCTTGTACAAGGCCAGGAATTACGCTGGCCTTTCTTACCAGTATCTTGCACAGCAGATTCAGGTTTTTTTGCCATCCACCCTTAAGTCTCTTTTGCTGTTGTGGCTTTCCAGGTTTCTATATTTATTGTAGTTCTGTATTTTTGGATTATGTTTTACCATGTGCATTAACTGCACTCTTCTAAATTAAATCTCATTCTCTTAACTTCCTTCTATGTTTGACCTCACAAGGACTCTCTGTTCCTACCAACCAGTATTCACCATCCTTTGGGGTTTAGTATTGCCTAAATGTCATTAAACCTCTTTTTCCAAGTTACCAACAAATAAATCTAAATTGGTCAGGATCTCACCGGTCCCCCGGTACTCCACTCTCAGGTCTGTTTGTTCCCAGGATGCTGTGCAGATCCTTCTACCTATCTTGAGGGGGTGTACAGTTACGTGGGCATGGTAACAGCCTTTGATCCTTTGTAAGGGAGACTTATCCCTGTGCTCTAGTAAGAATACAAGAGGAAGAAGTGATGTCGTCAGCCTGTCTGGTCTGCAAAGATCATGAGAGTACTCTCTAGCTCTGGGTGAGAGGGCTCTTGGCCAACGTGGAGAACCAGAATGATGAGGACCTCGGGCATCTGAGTGACACGTGTTCTTTGGAGTGAGAGGCTATGTATTAAAACCACCGATTGTGTCTGCACGGACTCCTGTGGTCAGAGTTTCCAGCTTGAGGGTGCCTCACCTTCAGGTCCTTGAAGGGCGTTAAAATTCTCCATCGGCTTCCTGGTTCCTAGGACCTGCTCTTGCAGAC